ACGCTGGGCGAGTTGCGCCCGTACAGCCCCGCTACGCAGGCCGTTATGCTGCTGTAAATGAGCCTTATCCAGGACAGCTCATTCACGTCCCACGGCCCTTTACACCGATAAACCGCTTCTCTAGTAGCCTCCATTTGTCGCCCAGGCAGGGGCTGCCGTCTCCCCTGCGACGTTTGCTGCCTGGGCTGTGCCATGGGGAGATCCGCAGCTAGGGGCTGAAAGCAGATTCCTTCCCAGTCTGTTGCCACGGGAAGGAGCTGGCCCTCAGGCTGGGTCCCGCTGGCCGGTCCCTCCGGCCAGGGCCCGAGAAGGGGTTTGCAGTTGCTCCGAGCAGGGCCCTCTGTCCGTGTCAGGCACGTTGCCGGGGGCTGGGACTTCATGGCGCTGTGGCCACGGCTCAGGACTCTGCACCTCCACTTTGTGTCTCCTGAACGACAGCCTAGCTGTGCTCAGGGCTGGCCTGCAGCTGCCAGGGCGAAGGGACCCCTTTCTCATAGTCTGACCTTCCTGTGTGCAAGGTCCTGGGCTGCCTTCAATACCAGGGCTCCGTGCTGGGCCGCTTGCAGCACCGGAGCGTTTTTAAACAAACCAGGCAAGCAGGCTGAGGGGTGCACAGAGCAGTGTTAACCCAGGGGCCTCCTCAGGGCCCAGCGCCAAGCCTCCGCCACCTCCAGGGCCGCTGGACAACGGCTCAGTAATGATCTTTTCTAGAACATACACAATTTCAACTGGTGTTTTTTGACACAACAGCCTTTTCTCCCGTTGTTCTATCAGCTCAAATAGCGACGTGCATCCAAGTGTACCAAGCGAAGAGAGCCGCTGATACTCGGTAGCAAAGCAACAATCTTCCCCACATATCTCAAAGACAAAGCACCGGGAAAGGGGAACCCTTTAAGATCCTAATGCCGGAGATGCGCAAAATAAGAAACGGGGAGTAAAAGCAGTTGCTGGCGATTTTGTTCCAAAATGTGGCAGTGAGGGTCAAACAGCCGTTTTCAGAGGATCCTGTTATTAAACTGAGAAATGGAGCAGCCATTGCTAACTAACATCCTGCCCATCACATACACCTGTAGGAAAAAAATGAGGACCCACCAGGAGACCCCTATCACTCCCTTCCACCCACCCCCGTGTCTCCTGCACACCAGCAAGACACATGGATCAGTGCCTGCCGTCCCCCAGCGCCCCCTGCCGCTCACAACCAGCTGTTTCACAGGGTGTTGGAAAAGCCTTGGGGGGGGGGAGGAGTGAGAACACAGTGCATTTGGGGGAGGGGGCAGAGGTGGGGCCAGTGCCTGGGGCAGAGCTGGAGGTGAGCACACCCAGCGCTTTGGAAAGTCGGCCACTGTGAACACAGGGAACAGTCTGTAGCTTTACTTAGCTGAACTTGGGCAAGACGGAGACAGGGACTGTTCTTGTTCCTTTTCTCCGGTCCTGGCTGGTCTTCTGGACTGGCTCTCTGCAGCTCTAGGTTCATTTCCCTGCTTTATTCACTAGACGGGACAGTGAGGAACTGCAGCTGGCGGGACGGCCGGCAGAGAGGAAGCGTGGCCGGAGGGACAGGCAGAGGGCCGGCCGGCAGAGAGGAAGCGTGGCCGGAGGGACAGGCAGAGGGCCGGCCGGCAGAGAGGAAGCGTGGCCGGAGGGACAGGCAGAGGGCCGGCCGGCAGAGAGGAAGCGTGGCCGGAGGGACAGGCAGAGGGCCGGCCGGCAGAGAGGAAGCGTGGCCGGAGGGACAGGCAGAGGGCCGGCCGGCAGAGAGGAAGCGTGGCCGGAGGGACAGGCAGAGGGCCGGCCGGCAGAGAGGAAGCGTGGCCGGAGGGACAGGCAGAGGGCCGGCCGGCAGAGAGGAAGCGTGGCCGGAGGGACAGGCAGAGGGCCGGCCGGCAGAGAGGAAGCGTGGCCGGAGGGACAGGCAGAGGGCCGGCCGGCAGAGAGGAAGCGTGGCCGGAGGGACAGGCAGAGGGCCGGCCGGCAGAGAGGAAGCGTGGCCGGAGGGACAGGCAGAGGGCCGGCCGGCAGAGAGGAAGCGTGGCCGGAGGGACAGGCAGAGGGCCGGCCGGCAGAGAGGAAGCGTGGCCGGAGGGACAGGCAGAGGGCCGGCCGGCAGAGAGGAAGCGTGGCCGGAGGGACAGGCAGAGGGCCGGCCGGCAGAGAGGAAGCGTGGCCGGAGGGACAGGCAGAGGGCCGGCCGGCAGAGAGGAAGCGTGGCCGGAGGGACAGGCAGAGGGCCGGCCGGCAGAGAGGAAGCGTGGCCGGAGGGACAGGCAGAGGGCCGGCCGGCAGAGAGGAAGCGTGGCCGGAGGGACAGGCAGAGGGCCGGCCGGCAGAGAGGAAGCGTGGCCGGAGGGACAGGCAGAGGGCCGGCCGGCAGAGAGGAAGCGTGGCCGGAGGGACAGGCAGAGGGCCGGCCGGCAGAGAGGAAGCGTGGCCGGAGGGACAGGCAGAGGGCCGGCCGGCAGAGAGGAAGCGTGGCCGGAGGGACAGGCAGAGGGCCGGCCGGCAGAGAGGAAGCGTGGCCGGAGGGACAGGCAGAGGGCCGGCCGGCAGAGAGGAAGCACGGCCGGAGGGACGGCCGGAGGGACGGCCGGCAGAGAGGAAGCGCGGCCGGAGGGACGGCCGGAGGGACGGCCGGCAGAGAGGAAGCGTGGCCGGAGGGACGGGCGGAGGGCCGGCCGGCAGAGAGGAAGCGTGGCCGGAGGGACGGGCGGAGGGCCGGCCGGCAGAGAGGAAGCGTGGCCGGAGGGACGGGCGGAGGGCCGGCCGGCAGAGAGGAAGCGTGGCCGGAGGGACGGGCGGAGGGCCGGCCGGCAGAGAGGAAGCGTGGCCGGAGGGACGGGCGGAGGGCCGGCCGGCAGAGAGGAAGCGTGGCCGGAGGGACGGGCGGAGGGCCGGCCGGCAGAGAGGAAGCGTGGCCGGAGGGACGGGCGGAGGGCCGGCCGGCAGAGAGGAAGCGTGGCCGGAGGGACGGGCGGAGGGCCGGCCGGCAGAGAGGAAGCGTGGCCGGAGGGACGGGCGGAGGGCCGGCCGGCAGAGAGGAAGCGTGGCCGGAGGGACGGGCGGAGGGCCGGCCGGCAGAGAGGAAGCGTGGCCGGAGGGACGGGCGGAGGGCCGGCCGGCAGAGAGGAAGCGTGGCCGGAGGGACGGGCGGAGGGCCGGCCGGCAGAGAGGAAGCGTGGCCGGAGGGACGGGCGGAGGGCCGGCCGGCAGAGAGGAAGCGTGGCCGGAGGGACGGGCGGAGGGCCGGCCGGCAGAGAGGAAGCGTGGCCGGAGGGACGGGCGGAGGGCCGGCCGGCAGAGAGGAAGCGTGGCCGGAGGGACGGGCGGAGGGCCGGCCGGCAGAGAGGAAGCGTGGCCGGAGGGACGGGCGGAGGGCCGGCCGGCAGAGAGGAAGCGTGGCCGGAGGGACGGGCGGAGGGCCGGCCGGCAGAGAGGAAGCGTGGCCGGAGGGACGGGCGGAGGGCCGGCCGGCAGAGAGGAAGCGTGGCCGGAGGGACGGGCGGAGGGCCGGCCGGCAGAGAGGAAGCGTGGCCGGAGGGACGGGCGGAGGGCCGGCCGGCAGAGAGGAAGCGTGGCCGGAGGGACGGGCGGAGGGCCGGCCGGCAGAGAGGAAGCGTGGCCGGAGGGACGGGCGGAGGGCCGGCCGGCAGAGAGGAAGCGTGGCCGGAGGGACGGGCGGAGGGCCGGCCGGCAGAGAGGAAGCGTGGCCGGAGGGACGGGCGGAGGGCCGGCCGGCAGAGAGGAAGCGTGGCCGGAGGGACGGGCGGAGGGCCGGCCGGCAGAGAGGAAGCGTGGCCGGAGGGACGGGCGGAGGGCCGGCCGGCAGAGAGGAAGCGTGGCCGGAGGGACGGGCGGAGGGCCGGCCGGCAGAGAGGAAGCGTGGCCGGAGGGACGGGCGGAGGGCCGGCCGGCAGAGAGGAAGCGTGGCCGGAGGGACGGGCGGAGGGCCGGCCGGCAGAGAGGAAGCGTGGCCGGAGGGACGGGCGGAGGGCCGGCCGGCAGAGAGGAAGCGTGGCCGGAGGGACGGGCGGAGGGCCGGCCGGCAGAGAGGAAGCGTGGCCGGAGGGACGGGCGGAGGGCCGGCCGGCAGAGAGGAAGCGTGGCCGGAGGGACGGGCGGAGGGCCGGCCGGCAGAGAGGAAGCGTGGCCGGAGGGACGGGCGGAGGGCCGGCCGGCAGAGAGGAAGCGTGGCCGGAGGGACGGGCGGAGGGCCGGCCGGCAGAGAGGAAGCGTGGCCGGAGGGACGGGCGGAGGGCCGGCCGGCAGAGAGGAAGCGTGGCCGGAGGGACGGGCGGAGGGCCGGCCGGCAGAGAGGAAGCGTGGCCGGAGGGACGGGCGGAGGGCCGGCCGGCAGAGAGGAAGCGTGGCCGGAGGGACGGGCGGAGGGCCGGCCGGCAGAGAGGAAGCGTGGCCGGAGGGACGGGCGGAGGGCCGGCCGGCAGAGAGGAAGCGTGGCCGGAGGGACGGGCGGAGGGCCGGCCGGCAGAGAGGAAGCGTGGCCGGAGGGACGGGCGGAGGGCCGGCCGGCAGAGAGGAAGCGTGGCCGGAGGGACGGGCGGAGGGCCGGCCGGCAGAGAGGAAGCGTGGCCGGAGGGACGGGCGGAGGGCCGGCCGGCAGAGAGGAAGCGTGGCCGGAGGGACGGGCGGAGGGCCGGCCGGCAGAGAGGAAGCGTGGCCGGAGGGACGGGCGGAGGGCCGGCCGGCAGAGAGGAAGCGTGGCCGGAGGGACGGGCGGAGGGCCGGCCGGCAGAGAGGAAGCGTGGCCGGAGGGACGGGCGGAGGGCCGGCCGGCAGAGAGGAAGCGTGGCCGGAGGGACGGGCGGAGGGCCGGCCGGCAGAGAGGAAGCGTGGCCGGAGGGACGGGCGGAGGGCCGGCCGGCAGAGAGGAAGCGTGGCCGGAGGGACGGGCGGAGGGCCGGCCGGCAGAGAGGAAGCGTGGCCGGAGGGACGGGCGGAGGGCCGGCCGGCAGAGAGGAAGCGTGGCCGGAGGGACGGGCGGAGGGCCGGCCGGCAGAGAGGAAGCACGGCCGGAGGGACGGCCGGAGGGACGGCCGGCAGAGAGGAAGTGAGGCCCACCTGGTTCAGGCTGGGGAAGGTTTTTCTGCTGCTCCAACCAGCAGTTCCTCACAAGCCAGACCCCTTCGCCTGGTTCCTGCACAGTGGGCAATGTAGGGCAGGGTGGGGTCGCTTGCCCCCGTGGGCGTCAGGTAAAAGAGGCAAGGGGAGGCAGTACCCTAACCTCTTCCTTCTCTTATCCCTGTTCTGGCCATTCCTGGAGGCTCCCAAGCAGGCTGCTGCACACCAGTGAGGTCCCCCGTCGCTCTGCAAAGTTGGTCTATTAACCTAAAAGTGAAAAACCCTTCAGCTTGCCAGATCTATTAGCATAACTGAGCCTGGGAAAGCGCCATTGAGTGGTAACGAAGCATGTGCCAAGCCAGAGATATCAACTGTCAGCTGCTGAACGTACTGACAAAACCAGTTGTGCCTTATATGTCTACAGGACCTTAGTTCAAATTGGCTTTAAATATTTCATTAGTTTGTTGCTGAAGATTATAAAATCACATCTCCAAAAAATCCTTGCCTAGATTTTGAGATGCACAAACTGAGTATTCATCATTACCTTGCGTGCTTGCATCTTCAGACAGACAGGTTTTGAAATAAATTCTTCAAAAGGCCACCCTCATCTAAAATACACATCTTAATTTTAATTACTATAGTACCAAAAACATGCTTCCAAAGTCTTCCTGTCTTTTCCATCCATCCCTACTCTCATTGACTCCTCTGTTGAAGACAGCCCTTTAAGGGACAACTTTCCTTTTCTTCCAGAGAGCTGCACAAAAGAATTTCCCTTTCTTTACTTCTGACAATCTGATGAACTAGTTTAAAGAGAACGCTCCACCAAAATCAATACCTTACTAAGATATACAATCCTTTGTTATGCCTAAAATCTTTGGAAACATATTTTAACAAAACATACTGTGAAATTTCATAAACATGTCTATTGTTATGAAGCTCACACAGTGTTCCCTTCTTCTAAAAACAATGAACTTTATTATGAACACACTAAACCACACTGACTCATTTAAAATAATGTCTTTGTTTCAGTGTGTAATCCGGAATTATTACTTTGGCCACGTCTCTCCAGGCAGAGAAAGTCAATGCAAGGTTCACAACTCTGTTGGAGGCAAAGGAGAAGTAAGGGGACAGTTAAAATGGTGGTTGTTCTTTCTCACCTGTTAATGTTATTTGGTTCCTTAAACTGTTGGCGTGTTGTCTGTTAACCCCCTACCCCTTCCCTGAGTGAGTGCAGAAGAATGTCTGAGGTAAACAGCAGGAGTAAACAACAATGCACACGGCCCCCAGCAGGGTGTGCACACGGCCCCCCAGCAGAGAGTGCACACGGCCCCCCAGCAGGGAGTGCACACGCCCCCCAGCAGGGAGTGCACACGGCCCCCCAGCAGGGAGTGCACACGGCCCCCCAGCAGGGTGTGCACACGGCCCCCCAGCAGGGAGTCACACGGCCCCCCAGCAGGGAGTGCACACGGCCCCCAGAGGCCCAGACTCAGAGGCTGCATGTGGCTGATCCCTGAAGGAGAGAGGGGCAGAC